TCAAGGCGGCTTACAAATATAAGATACAAATTAAAAACATACATTACATGGATGTGAAAATACCACATTTTACTTGCAATGGGGGGATCCTAAAGAGGAAGCCAAGGGGCTGGGACTTTACTTCTTGGAGGTTTCTACCTTCAACAAAAAAATGGGACTGCATGACTTTGGACAAGTCACACACTCTCAGCCTCAGGGGAAGGCAATGGCAAACCACCTCTGAACAAATCTTGCCAAGAAAATCCCATGATAGGGTTGCCTTAGGGTTGCCATAAGTCAGAAAAGACTTGAAGGCGCACAACAACAGCAGCAACAACATCTGCATTCTGATGCTTGCTTGCTAAGCCTTGGCTAGCCATGGAGATGCTTTTCCCCCTCTTTCAGCACCTTGGATAGCTCTCATAATATCTTGAATTGTGCAAATCATATCCTCAGGTTAATCTGCTTTATGTAATTCTTGGTCACAGAGAAAGAGGATGGGACCTTAAAAGCACACTTACTACTTTAGCAGCACCTCTAGATTTTGCCAAATCTGGCCTGCATTCATTTCATACCTATCATAGTAGCCATGAGGACCAACAACCTGCCTTTTGTTGTTATTAAATGAGAGCTGAGCTGCTCAGCAGTCTGGGATTTTTTTAGCAAATACTTCATTCTAAGTTCCACAAAAATGGAGGGGTGTGATTTAATTTTGAAAATCTTGGCTGGAATTTAGTATAGGGCTTACATCTACATAAGTGGACTTATGTCTGCAGGAAATACAGTTCAGCAGTTTTGCAGCTGAGAGGCAGTGTGGTGTAGTGGTTTGAGCATTGGACTGTGACTTTGGAGACCAGGGTTCGAATCCCAGCTCAGCCACAGAAACCCCCTGGTGTTTGTATTTGGGTCTGGATTCCTAAATGCTCAGCTAAGGTTTTATATTAGAGGTTGGATCTCCTTTATCCAAAATACTCCAAAATCCAGCCTTGTCCATAGAGGTGGCTGAGATAGTGACACTTTTGCTTCCTGATAGTTTGGTGCATTTTGTTTCATGAATACAATTATTAAAAATATTATGTATGGAGTTACCTCTAGGCTATGGAACATAGGTCCAAATCACATTGCAGGAATAATCCAGTTTGAGACCTCTCTTAATCGCCCTGGCTAAATGCTAGGGAATTCTGGGAACTGAAGTTTTTTGAGACATTGAGCCTTCTTTGTTAGAGAGGTTTGGTGCCACAATGAACTACAATTCCAGGATTTCCTAGCACTGAGCCAGGGCGGTTAAAGTGGTCTCAAACTGGATTATTTCCGCACTGTGTTTTGGACCATAAATGAATTCCCTGTTTAGATTTGGATGCCATCTCCAAGAGATCTCAATATATATAAGCAAATATTCCAAAATTGGGGTGGGGGTCTGAAATCCAAAACCGCTTCTGGTCCCAAGCTTATCAGATCAGGGAGACTCAACCTGTATTGCAACGCTAGAAATTTGGGGACTGGAGAATAGTTTCACGGGGGGAGAATTTTTGTTTTGAGGAGACAATGGCCTGATGTTGCCTCTCCTCCATAGCTTGACCTGAACATTTGGACACACTTCTCCATTTGATGCAGCTTTGTGTTCTTGCTCTCCCAGGTAGAACTGACGGGAAGCAGCATCTTCGATTACGTCCATCCTGGGGACCATCTAGAAGTTGCCGAACAGCTGGGGCTGAAGACACCCTCCGACTCTTCCCGCCCAAATCGCCACAAAGCATCCCATGTGGCTGCTGCTGTCACCGCCGCTTCTTCTTCTGGGCTGTCTGAGGTCTCCAAATCTGGTACGACTCTTGAGCAAACTCAACTGGGCATCTCTTAAATGCTGGGTTCAGACCTTGTCACAGCAAGCTCCAATTTTGCAAATCTGGTTGGTGCATTTGATCCCTTCGATCAGCAGTTCCCAAGCTTTGGTCCTCTGTTTGGGAATTCCTTACTGTTGTTGAGGCTTTAGCTGTAGTAGTGCTGTGGCTCCATCCTATGGAATCCTGGGATTTGTAGTTTTACATGGTCTTTAGCCTTCTCTGCCAAAGAGGGCTGGTGCCTCACTGAACTGCAAACCCTAGGATTGCGTAGGATGGAGCCGCGGCAGTTAAAGTGGTGTCAAAGTGCATTATTTCTACACTGTAGATCAGTGATTCCCAAACTCCCAGATGTTTTGTACTTCAGCTCCCAGAATCTCAGAGCATTGGCCAAGATGGCTGAGGCTTCTGGGAGCTGAAGTCCAAAACAGCTGGAGGATGAAAGTTTGGGAATCACTGCTGTGGCTGCACCTAGTGTTTGGGTGATTTGGGGGCAATGGGTTTTGCATGGTTGCCATGGACCATCCCAGAGATGCATCCCAAATGTTAACTCACTCCAACTTTGCATGGCTTCGATCCTTCCTTACTCAAGGAGTAAGTCCCCATCGGCATTCTTGGGATGCACTTTACTGTCCCAGGCACTGCAAAGGATCAAACTTCTCAGTCTCCATCCGTTGCTGTTCCTGACATTGACTCAACACTGGTGTCAGCCGCTGCCTTTGGCGGTTCATTTCTTCCTCTTCTTCCTCTTCCTCCTCCCACCTGGACGAGCAAAAAGTCAAGGAATGAAAGAGAATCTCCGCTCGCCCCTTCTGCTCATTTGATATCGGCCTCCGTGGCTTTTATCTGGGGAACTTGTGAAAGATTTATACCAAATCTTGGATAGTAAAAGAGAATACAAGATAAGCATTGTGCCCTGAGTGTCTTCTCGGAAAAACACACAGAGAAGCAGGGAGGGATCCAGCTGGAGCTCAGGAAGGGTCAGGGTACATAGTTCCCGCATCCTTTTCTCAAAGCTGGCCCCAATCCCTCTGGGAAACCTACAGCCAGAATAGAAGGGAAGCGGTCCTCCGGTTTTGAACATCTGGAACATCCAAGTCATCAGAGGTATACTACTTCTGGACAGGGGAGATCTATTTAACTATTCCTATTCACTTGGCGTTTGTATTTGATTTATATCCTCTACCTAACTTAGTCACAAAACTAGAATTTGGTGCAGCTCACCCCAAAAAGTAAAGCTAGATACAAATAAAAGCACATTCAGATTAAATACATATTATAATATTAAAAGACAACCAGATTAAAGGCAATTAAAAACACTTGTTTAAATAATGCAGCAAGTAGCAGCTCCCATTAAAAGATTCCCTGCTCAGCTGTCAATCAATTGTCGGAGTATAATAATTATACGATTAGGCTGATGTTGGATGATCATCATAGTCTTGTTTCAAGAATTATCACGGCTGCTGTTGTTATGTGCCTTCGGGATCATTCTGACTTATGGCCACCCAATCCTGGGTTTTTCTTGGCAAGATTTGTTCAGAGGAGGTCTGCCGTTGTCTTCTTCTGAGGCTGAGAGAGTGTGAGTTGCCCAAGGACACCGAGTGGGTTTCCATGGCTGAACAGGGATTGAGGCAACAAGCACTTTTCTTCCATTTTATAGAATCATAGATCCTTAGAGTTGAAAATGGCAAGGGACATCTAGTTCACCCCCTGCCATGCAAGAATACACAACTAAAGCACTCCTGAAAGATGTCCATCCAAACATTATTTGAAGACCACTAAAGATGTTGGAAGCTTGAAGTCCACCACCAGAATTTGAGGTCCACCAGAGTTTGAAGTCCACCACCTTCTGGGACAATCTTTTCCGCTGTCAAACTGCTTGTACAGTCAAGAAGTTTTTGTGATATGTTTAGGTGGAGTCTCTTTTCTTGTAATTTGAATCCATTGGTTCGTTTTTAGTCTCCGGAGCAGCAGAAAACAAGCTTGGTGTGCTTTTTCCTCCTTGTTATCTTCTGCCATCTTGACCATACTTTGATGTTGCGTGGCCACGCATCTCTTGGTTTTCATTTGGGAAATGTTGGAGAGTATGTGTCATCCCTTAATCTTTATATATAAATCTGAAGCCTTCAGGGAGGGATTTAGTCAACCGTTTTTGGAAAGGCCAGTAATGTAAAGTCTAACATATCTGTCCTGTCTTTTATGCTTTTTGACGCTCTGAAAGAAGTCTTAAAAAGCTGGTGAGACAAGGCTTTCCTTTGCGGAAGTCATGCTGATCTAGGCTGGTTCTTTGGTGTGTTCAATAATTCTGTTTCACTTCAGTTTCGTGCAAATCGATTTAGGATAGAAGTCAGGCAGGGATGCCTAATAACCCCAAAATTTTCTATCAACCCATTGATAGTATCCCTTTTACAGTATGATCCACTTGGCCCTCCGTATCCACGGATTCTTCATCCATGGATTCAAGCATCCACAGTTTGAAAATATTTTATATATATATATATATATATATATATATATATATATATATATACTTGTTATATTAAAATATCCTAAACAATATCCATAATCTTATCTCATCATTTTCAACTATACATATACATATTTACAGTTGACTTCCCATGTACATCCAGTTTGTATTCAGCTATTCTCATTTAAATCTTATTGTCTTCACTTCAAATGTAGTGTTTAATTTCAGATCGTCTGTGTGTTAAACCAACAGTTTATATATTTTTGATCATTTCTACTAAATTCTTAAATGAATCGTTACTAATTTAAACTTTCCTTCTTACAATACTGCAATATTGAGAATATTTTTTCCAAAGATTCCAAATTCAATTAAAGTTCCTGATTCTTTTTCTATATATCGATTCTGAGGATTCCTAAATCTTCTTCCTCTTGTCTTCCTATTATCAAAATAAATTTAATCCTAGCTCTTCAGATTGGTTCACTCTAAGATGTTCATTTATTAATAATATTAATATAAGGTGATTTCAACTGGGAAGTCTACTACAACGCTGTATATAAGCATTTGGAGAAAACATTGTGTTTGTTTGTTAATAGTATGTTTGTGTTTATTTTTGTGGTTTGTATATAACTGTTTGTTTGTTAATAAAAATTTTAAAAATCCAAATTCCCAAAAGCAAACCTTGGTTTTGCTGTTTTATATAAGGGGCAACATTTGATTACTCCATTGTATTTAATGGGGCTTGGACATCCAAGGATTTTGGTGTTGGGGAGTCCTTGCTGAAATCAAACCCCAACGGATACCAAGGGCTTTCTGTACTAGCTTCCAATCCCCTGGGATTTTAATGTTGCATGTTTATGTTAAAAGATCAGCACTTTTATATTTGAGTTATTTAAGGACTCTTGGGTAAATGCCATCTGGCTGCGGTGTCTTGTTAGCTTGTAACTTGTCAATTAGTTCTATATCTTCATCCTTTGTCACCTCCATTCAGTTGACACAGCTCTTCAAATGCCCTTCTTGGAAACAATGGCACAGATACATGCCTATCTCTTCCAGATCTTTCAGCAAAGGCAGATGCAGATACTTTAGTCTCTAGTCTGCACCATCATCCTCTTAAACATTTTTAAAGATTTTATAGTTTTTTGTGGGTTTTTCGGCCTGTGTGGCCATGTTCTAGAAGAGTTTCTTTCTGATGTTTCACCAGCATCTGTGGCTGGCATCTTCAGAGAATGCTGGCATGGAAGAGAGTGGGTACCATCTGTGGCTGGCATCTTCAGAGAATACTGGAATGGAAGAGAGTGGTACCTACTCTTTTCCATTCCAGTATTCTCTGAAGATGCCAGCCACAGATGCTGGCGAAACGTCAGAAAGAAACTCTTCTAGAACATGGCCACACAGCCCGAAAAACCCACAAAAAACTATGGATGCCGGCCATGAAAGCCTACGACTTCACATTTTAAAGATTTTGCTTCCTTTTTTCTTCTTGCTTCTCTTTGCTGGCCTAGCTTGGGAAGATTTATGCGCCTTTTCCATCTTCCTCAGTTTTATTTATTTATTCATTTATTTTGGCAAATGTG